TTTTTTTTTTTTTTTTTTTTTTTTTTTTTTTTTAATTTATCCAGCTTCGACATGACTTGGACACATCTTAAATGGCCGGACGCGGTTATAGACAAGTTTACCTTTTTTTACCAATCTTTTTAAAGTTAAAAATAGAATCATAATAAATAAATTTCCTATTTTCCTTTTTTAAGTATTTTTTTGGGACTTGATTAAAGATCTTAGCAAGTTGTTAGTTAATTTTTTTATGTAAAGCAACAAAGTTATAGTGTTGTGTAATTTCCTTTTGAATGATAATGATGTCTCTTAATTACAAAATATTATTCAATTTAGTAATTTTTTTTATGATATACACACACACATAAATATATACACACACATATATATATTATATATATATATCGTGTCTTCTTTTAGACTTTAATTGTGTTGAGGTGTCATGTCAGTATTAGAGTTGGTGTCCCAAAAAACCAAGCAAGTTTAGCTATTAATAAAATCACCATTTCCGAGTCACATTTAAAACAGCTGAGAACTTCATGATATAGCTCAATAGTTTCCAATGATTTTTGGGTTTTATGTTCGATGAATATTTATAGTATCATCCTCCCTTTTATTCATAACCATTTTTTTTCCTTTATTCTTTTTCTGTCACTTCATGCTACAAATAATTTAATTAATGGAGGAAGAAAAAGTTCCATTGACTCTTATTGTAACCCACTTAGAAAAGGGAGTAACAAAATGAACCAATCACTCAGAAGCACATTGTTAGTTGATATAAAAATTAAGAATCACATCACAACTTCCAATTAATGTTTTTTCCTTTATGAATATAAAACTCCAGCATAATCAGCAAGGCAACAGCAATAGAAGTCCCAAAACTATTATAAGTTTATAGCAGACTCTACCAATACAGTATTAGTCATGCTGTAATCTGCATAATTACCTGGGTCGATAATCTTGTAATTTCTTGGTTCAGTATTATAGTGAACAGATGCAAATCTTCATGGTTCCTCCTACCAGGAAGGAAAGAACAATATGCATCCAAGTTACGAACAAAAAATGATAAAATGCCCACCCATGTTAAACTTCTTAAATCTTATATATAATGTCCAAAGCACATGCAATCACCTGTTCATAAACATCAATTCAACTTCATCGGCAGCCCCAAAGATGTGTTTACGAAACAACCTATGATATCATAGGTATTAGTGATAAATACCCATGATGATACTGCATATTCAATAGTGATCCCAACAAAGTATGATTTTAGATCACAATAGAATGTTAAAAAGTAAATCACTCATAAAGATCCAAAGCTTTTATATTTACCATAATATTGCCTGTACGATAATAAGTTATAACAGCCTCAGATTTTAAGAATGCAAAATTAATCAGTTTCAGAGAATATTGTTATCAAGAGAAACGAGGACACAGTGAAAACCAGATTCAGTCTAAATATATCAAATGAAACACAAAACACGTCCTTAAATTAATACTAGAGCTAAATCCATTAGGCCAACTACCCAATCTGATGCCCAAAAAAGAAGTATCTATGGGGAAAAAGTCTAATTTTGAGTTGCAAAAACTAAAATATAGCCTGTGATTGAACAGGATTTTTACAGTAGTCAGGAAGAATAAAAAGGGGGATTGTATCTTCCTCTGTTCAATTCCTTTCTTTTTATTATTTCATGGCAAGTCATCGGTTTCTTACACCTAGTTTCACACTATTCATGCCTTTCAAGAGGAAAATGTGTACCTTCCAAATTCCAATCAAAAGTAACTGGTTGTGATGACTTACGGGGATTCAGAGAATCTTCACCTCCATGAAGAGGATAAAAATCCTTTTACTGACTATTATAGATAATTTCCACTTCACATGCAACATGGTAGCTTCATCATGTCACAAGGTATGTTTCTCTTTATTAGCATATATGCATATGATATGACTGTCGGCTATGAAAAGGAATAGCCAACTGCAAATAGTAGTTGAACTGTTGAAGCTCCAGTTGCAACAATCTCAGAAAACTCAAATCATATTTTGAACTTCATACATTTGGTCTTAACGTGTTATCCACCAGATTCATGTATCATTTTCCTTAAATAATTCTGAGTAACAAGCAGGTAAAATTCCATACATTCTCCCAAAAATTGACATATACTCTTTTATTCATATATTCATTAAAATATATTTTTTGCTCCATTCTATGTGTAATTTAAATTTAATCTTATCTAACTAGTTGATCTTAGAAACAGTTTATATATATATATTTATGTATGTATATATATGTGTATATATATATAAGTATTATATATATGCTTGCATTTGAGATATAATCCACAAGAAAGATTTAAAATTTAAATTGAAGCATCACAATCCTCGTACACTTTACCTTAATAAATAACGTGGTCTAAAAGCAACAACACCCGTTGCTTAGCAATTTGGATATTCATAGTTCAGGTGAAATTTAGTTACACCATTTCCAACAGATTCAATCAAGATTATGCTTATGTAATATATGGAGGTCACATATAGAATTCACAGTGGAAGAAAACAAAATTAAAATACTAATTAAAGGGAAAAGCATCATTGTCAACAGGGAAACCAATTAAAAAATCTAATTGTAATTTGGTAAGAAAACGTAAATAATACAAAACCTATCATCCCATCTGGCAAGTCGACAAGCTAGGTGTGCTACAACATCGTGAATGCTGCGTGGTATGTTAGCACCTCCAGCAGCCAGCAGTTCCTGTATAACATAGTTGAAGGCAAGTCAGAACAAAAATAGTAAGAGACTTATGCTTCTGGCAGAATCATTCTTTGATTAAGGATTTCAATCTTCTATAGTTACTCTCAGAACTCCATGAATCTCATGCATTCTATTTATTATTATGTAATGAATTAACATCTCCAATTAATTTTAATAAATTTCAATGATTAGATATCTGTCTGTCTGATTAATGAGGGGGAAACAGACTAACAAACCTGAACTTCTAAAATACCTAACACGTTGATCTTTGATGCTGAGCCCTTAACATGCAAAGCAGTCACCAAAAAGTTTTGTGCCTGCCATGCCCGTAAGACAATGGGAATGTCGTCTTCCTCAGCTAACGGATCACCAGCAGACTGCCCTAGAAGTTCAAATAATAATCCTCCAGCAACTCGAACTGGTACCTATTAAAATAAACACTAATAGTTAAAAGATTATTTTACAAAATCCAATGGCTTTTAACTTATACATTGAGTCATTTATTTTACAGAAAGAGGCGCAGCAGCTAATAAGATGTTTCTGGAAGACACCCATTTGCAAAATGGTAACAGCAAATTGATTTTTCTAAAATAAAAATTAGCATATTTCGCTCTTTAATATCGCTCATTAGTTTTTTCAATTACCTTACCTCATACAGAAGGTGTTTCATTCGATCACTTATTAACCTACTTTCTTCTTGCAAAGCAATGCTGATAGCGGGATGCAACCAGCGAGAACTACCAAACCATGCAGTAACAAATGGATCAGCAGCATCCAAATGACACCACCAAGTGGGCCCCACCGGCCATTCCCAGTAAGGAGTTGCTACAATTGCAACAGGAACATCACTCTCATCATCTTTGAAATCAAACGGCTTTGTATCATTATCATGCATTTCCTGGACAAGTTCCGAAATTCTATCCCAACCAATTGGCCTCCAATAACTCCTTGGAAGACCCTCTTTGCAATAGAAATGAGGTGGCGCTGGCTGGTGATCCTGGTCACCCAAATCATCTCCATCTGATTCATGCAAAATGTTTCCACTTTGATTGCCTTGAAACCCCTTGTTCTTGGTAGGTCCCCTTCCCCTCACGAATTCAAAAGCACAAATAAGTCCATTAGTCCAGAGTTCCGCACCCTGCATGTTATCTCTTGAGGAAGACCGTGTTTTGAGATTCCCACTGCAAAGCGGAGCTGAATGACCTTCATTCACGCCTCGCATGTCGCCCTCAAGAAGAGGAACTAGAGTCTCCACTACCATTGATATGGGAGAATCAAATGCTAATTAAAATAGCAGCAGCAGAAGCATAAAAAATTAGGAACAAATAATGAAAAGTTGAACACGATGATGATTCAATACACATGGCAAATCAAAACCTGAGAGATTAGACTAATTAAATCAATATCAATCACAAGGTTGCTACTAAGGATTTGTTACCATAAACATTAATGCAATGTCTGCATGTAGAAGTATTATTATTATGATTTGAATTTGGATTATGCAAAATACAGAAATGAAAACGACATGCAACGCAAATGAGAACGTGAACGAGGGACACGTACGTTAGTTGTGGTTTGATTGGAATATTATTAATTGTTGAGGAATTGAAAATGGAGAGGGAATGAGGAAAAGACGCATAGCAGGAACCACAGAAGCGAAGGATTTTATTGGAGAGACGAGAAGAAGAAGACCAAGAGAACCGCCACAATGGTCATGGTCGCGGTCACGCTCACGCACACAACGTTATTTTCACTTCCAATTTTTCATTATTTTTTTTTACTAAATTACTTTTATCTTATTTTTTAATTCATTTTAATCTTTTATACGTTAAATATTCATTTTTTACTTTTTATATTTGGATTAATTTCATCATTCCTAAATAATAATAATAATTTTTAATTTTATAAAATAATTTTGAATCAATTTTTAATTAAATGAAGAGATGAAATTTATAATATTAGACTATATAAAAATTATAAAATTTAATTAACGTTCAGATAAAAAAATTTATAAAAAATAGTGAAAATTGGATTAAAAAAATGTCAGATATATGAAATAATGTTTTTTTTTTGAATTTTTTTATATAATTTTTGTAATATTTATAATATTTTATTCGAATTTTAGTTGCATAAGATAATTTTCTTACAAGTAAATTTGATAAGACAAATTTCAAGTTTTAGATCAATAAAAAAAATTTAAAATTATGTTACAAAACGGAATGACAATGGGTCCCATGGAAGCGGGTAATAATAAACTCGTATCTGTCTCGCTATATGAAAATTGGCTCATTTAAGTGGGTATTCATGAATTTCTTGAATACTCACGGATATTCATATATACTTATAAATTTTTTAAGAAATTAAAAAAATTATATTACAAATAATTTTAAATTTATATTTAATATCATTGAAATATTAAAAATAAAAATTTAATGCTAATTTTAAATTTGTATTTAACGTTAATTCTGTTGAAATAATAATAAAAATGAAAGATATTCAATAACTTAAAATAAATTAATCTTACACAAGTAAGTGAAAGTCTCATATCACAAAACTATAATAATCTAATCTCATAATTTCAAACGTAAGTAAATAACTTAAAATACATAAATCTTATTGGTCCAATCAAAGCTAGAAAATTAATCAAATTATATCCAACATAATTCTATGGAAAGAAAATAAGATGAGAGTGTAATTTTAGGGTTATGTGGTACAAGAATAATTAAGATATTTAATAAATATTATTATATAGGTACCCGCGGATATAGATATCATCATACCCACCCTCGCCCCATTTATAAACGGGTAAAAAATTATCTATCTCCATTATCTGCGAGTACCCATTTAATCTATCCATTTATTATCCGTATCGAATTTTACTTACAGATATTTGCGGGTGCGAGTATTTTTGTCATCCTTACACAAAATTAAAAACAATCATTATTTCAAAATGATTAAATTGATCGAGATTTAAGAGATAAAAAATGAAAATAAAAATTTTAAAAGATAAATGATCAAAATTAATTTTAATAAATAAGATAAAGAAAAAAGAATAATTTATCCTATATTTTTCATTATTTTTTTTTATATTTCTCTTGGTTAGAAAAAGAAACTACGCCACGATCTCGAGTGAAATTCTAAGAAGAGATTTTTCTTTATAAAAAAATATATTGATAATTTAGTTAATTTCATTTATCGTTAAAAATTAAAATTAATTAAAACTTTTGCAGTAAGAAACTTAATTTATTATTCACTAAATTACTATAGAAGAATAACATATCAATATATGAATTTATTCATTAGGAAGAGAAAAAATAAAAGATAATTGAATATCCTTATTTTTTTAGTATAACTAAAAATTTAAATTTTACAGCATTTGCTTTCTCGAAGTTTAAAAAATTCAATAAATAAACTAAATTCATAAAAAAAAATAAGAAAATTAATGTTAACTACAAGAACTCAAATTATTCCGCTAAAATTATTGATGACATGTCTTCAACTTATAAAGATTTTCTGTTTACTCATTTTTCTTCAATTTCCATGGATAATCATCGATTCATAAAGACAAATGCAGATCAATCTCATTTCAAAAATATTAAAAAATAATAATAATTAATGACCAAACTAAAATACTGTTAATACTAAAAAAGCATGAGTTATGTATTTTCAAACAAAACCTCATAATATCAGTGTTATCAATGTAATTTACTCTAAAGATAATTGACTCTTCATGAATAAAGGGTTCTTTGGTCGTGTTATTGATGAACTGTACCTAATAACCACTTCTAGTTCTTAATGTAATTGAAGCCCTTGAATCCTATAAGATTGGAAGCCTTTGTTCCTCAAAACAGAGTTGCACCTCAACAAGACCCTATGTTGCAGTCTTCTACACACTTTCAACAAATAGCTGATATAAGAGTTAACGAGCGGAATTCACGTTCGCAGATATTAGTCTTTGATTAGTCTGTGATTGTCGACTTTGGATACTGACTAGACTAGAACTAAGTCCATGGACAAAAAACAAACTGATGCAAGAGTGTAAGAGTGTTTCCCTAAGGCCTAAGGTCTTCAAAGTTCAAACACTAACCCATAATTTTGTTGGGCACTTGGAACTCACACATACATGTCTTCATAATGATACGACATTGTTCACTTTGAGCTTAAACCTTCGTGATTTTACTTTTGATCATTTTCTAGAAGATTTTGTTTCAATGAAAATTATTTGTGTTTTATAAATCTTTCTTTCTACTCATGAACGTGTGTTATGAGACTTTGTTTGTATCCCAATAAATATGCACAAACATTAACTTTGCCTTTACCTCAGACTCCACGCTATGGTTTCCCAATTCCCACGACAGCCAATTCAAGCTCTCCCACCGCATAGAAGTAAAGCTCACTTAGTCACTTGTGTGATTGAGTCGTGGCTCTTTAGTGAAGTTTTCCCTTGTATTCCCAACATGTGCATTCTCCATTTCTGACTCCTCCAGGGTGTGAAAATCATTTACATTCTCTGACTGTGACACTTCCACTGCACAGATGTCCTCTACACACTGTTTTTCATTTTTTTGATAGTTAGTTGACAGTTGCTGACGTGGAAAAAGTAACTGTGGTGTTACTCAGAACAGAATTAAAGTCTTAGACACTCGATGTTCTCTTCAAACTTTCCTCTCTTTCTCTCTCCCTAGCTCTTCTTTCTCTATACTAGCTTGATTCTTTTTTCAGAGGGAGTGAAATAGAGTATTTTTTAATCATTCAGATGGGAGAACGTGAATTCAATTGTATATACATCAGAGAGAATTGAACATGTATCTCGTATTAGGAACATAGGGGCATGCAATTCTATATTATAATAATGCGAGAAAGATGGTGTAGGTGGCTAAGATTGGGATGTAAAGCGTAATAATTATATGGCATGAGATATCTGTTGGGGAAGGCAATTGACATGAGTCAAGTTAGTCAGAATTAGGCAGAGTAATGCAAAAAACAACAATTTGTGGTTGGTTGGTATTACTTAACTCCGTCCTAAAAAACAATCATTCCTTTGGGGTCCTATAAAATTTATTCTCATAATTCAGCTACTTAAGCTTTTCTATGAAGCAGAAGAGAGCGATTTGCTCTTTGTTACTGCACTTTTGCCTTGCCTCAAAGTGTCTTATGTTTGGTGAAATGGACAGAAAGCAAGAACAAGACAAAGGGAACTCAAACATGTCTGGCATTGATGTTACTCTAATATCTCCCAAAGTTCCAAAAGCAGTTTCACCGGTTTCTTCTGCAGCAGACGGAGACACCTTAAGGCGGCCCAGGGGCCGGCCGGCCGGCTCCAAAAACAAACCTAAGCCACCAATAATTGTCACCAGAGACAGTGCTAATGCACTGAAGGCTCATGCCATGGAAGTGAGCTCTGGCTGTGATGTGAATGAAAGTTTGTTGAACTTTGCAAGGAGAAAGCAACGTGGCCTTTACATACTCAATGGAACAGGCTGTGTAACAAATGTGACTCTGCGCCAGCCAGGTTCATCTGGTGCCATTGTGACCCTTCATGGTAGATTTGAGATTCTTTCACTGCTGGGATCAATCCTTCCCCCACCAGCACCACCAGGGATCACAGGCCTCACAATTTATTTGGCTGGTGCTCAAGGGCAAGTTGTTGGAGGTGCTGTAGTTGGTGCTTTGATTGCTTCAGGCCCTGTTGTGATCATGGCTGCATCATTCATGCATGCTACTTTTGATCGTCTTCCATTAGAAGATGATGAACTTGCTGCTGCAATGCACAACCAGCATTACCAAAATGGACGTGCCCACCATCTTGATATCTCTGACTTATATGCAATGCCACAGAACCTGCTCATGAATGGTACAATGCCCCAAGAGATATACTCTTGGGCACCGGGGAGGAACTTGTCAAAAACCTGAAACTTAGCATACTATTTCTTAGTGGTTGTCTCACGTCCACAGAATGCACTATAGTGTAGCTATTAAGTCACCAGGTTCTTGTACAAGCAGGTGTCTTCCAAGGTTGACATTGCTAAAAAAGATGATATGCTTATTCTGCTGTATTAACAAATTTTAACAAATTAATGTTATGATTTTCAATACAATAAGATCTACTTATCAGAGTTCGTATTGTATATTGCAGCAGCATTTGTTCTTAGGACTTCAAAGCAAAACATGCATGAAACACAATTGAGATTAGTAAGTCCACTTGATAGTGCAATGAGTAAAAATGTAAAATATAAAACATTTAACTACGAGGCAGACAGACCAAGACTCAAATTTATACAAGTTTTAGCAGACACCACCACGTTTTCTGATTAAATTACCAATGTGACTGAAATAATTTGGGAAGACATGATATAACATTAATTAAATGGATTTTTGCACGTTTGGATTTCATGCCATGGCCCTATGCCCCTATCTTTCTCTTTTTACTTTAGGCGCCTTTATTTTTTCCGTAATCAATCTATAAATAGTGTATTGACAAGCAAATTGGATATTCCCACAATTGTGTGATCCTCATCTTTTTTTTAAGCGTAAAATGATCTTATAAAACCTATGACTTTATACATACTACTTTAACACTCAATTACTAAGTCAACTTTAACGGTTCAGGTGTGATTTTCATCTATTGTAGCTCTTCGCTATATTAAAGCTGCTTCCTTATAAACAGATTGAATTTTAAATTTCACAAGTTCATCAATTTGGAGTTAATCAATCTTGAAGTGCAAAACCAGAATCATTCAGTAAAGAGTAAATCTCTTGAGTTTTAGGATGTAGCCTCCCCCCTGCCAAGAACTCATGAACCTCTCCGTATAGTTCTATTGAACTGCATCCTGGTTCCTTCTCTGCCAATCTTTCTTTCATCAAAATTCTGTGCTCCATTGCCTCTTCAAATTGGTTGGATGCAGCCTGTACATTAGACATAAGTACATAACCACTAGCATCACTTGGATTTAACTCACAAACTCTTTGTGCAGCTCGTATTGCAATTTCTACATTTCCATGCTTCCTACAAGATGAGAGCAAAGAGCCCCATATAATAGCATCTGGCTCTATATGCATACTCTTTATTAGTTCTTCTGCTTCTTCTAGGAGCTCAGCTTGACCCAACACTTCTACCATGCAAGTGTAGTGTTTTATTGATGGCTCAAACTCATACTTATTCATCATCAGTGCAAAATAGTCCCTTGCTTTTTCTATATCTCCCAAATGTTTACAAGCAGTTAAAACACCAATGAAACTCACACAGTCTGGCTTTAAATTTGAGGATTCAAGCTTAGAGAAGTAATCAATTGCTTCTCTCTCATAACCATTCAAGGCTAGTCCTATTATAATGGAGTTCCAACATGACAGCCCTCTTATAGGTGATGCCTCAAACACTTCCATAGCTTTTTCAATAGACCCACATTTGCAGTACATATCAATTATTGCTGTGAGAACAATGACATTCAACTCAAAATGATTCCTTTTAATATAATCATGAACCCATTCCCCAAATTGAAGTGTCCCTAAGAACGCACAAGCATTCAACAAGCTCACCATTGTAAATTCACTAGGCTCAACCCCTTCCTCCTGCATCTTGCGGAAAAGCTCTAATGCCTCCATCAGCTTCCCATTCCTAACATATCCACTAATCATAGAGTTCCAAGTAACTGTGGTTCTTGTAGGCATGCTATCAAACAACCTCCTAGACTCATCAACTTCACCACACTTGGCAAGCCCCATAATCATTGAATTGAAAGCTACCACATCAAGTTCCATGACTTCATCAAACACTCTTCTAGCATCACTCAATAGGCCACTATTAGCATACATGTATATGATAGTGTTACGTATAAACTGGTCCTTTTCAAGACCCAATTTTAAGACCCTCCCATGAAGCTGAGCCCCAACATGGCCAGCACCCAATTGAGCATAAGCCTTGAAAACAGAAGGGTAAGTGAGCCTTTGAGGTTGAACTTCAGAATACAACATGTCAACAAAAAGTGATATCGCAAAGTGTGGACTTGAGCTCCGTGAGAAGCCTCGGATAATGGTGTTCCAAGAATAGAGATTTGGGTTTGGAGTGGTGGTGAAGAGCAAGTAAGCATAGTTGATGTCACCATATGAAGAGACACAGAAAGTGAGAACACGGGTGGCAGCAATGGGGTGAAGAGCAAGGCCAGTTTTGATGATGTGAGCATGAATCTTTTTGAAGTCTTTCATGTTGGTGCACTGGCTTTGGAGCATGGTGAGACATGGTTGGTCAGAGATGAAGTTTGATATGAAGGGTGGTGATGATGGAGGAAGTGCAGAAGAATGAGTTGCCATTGTGTGTGGTCACGAAAGTGTGAAGGAGATGATGAGGGAATGGAATCTGCAAGAGTCACGGACTAACTGATAATGATTTATCCACCCATGAGTGGACTCCACACTCCCTTTTTGTGCTGGAAATTCATAAATCTAAGAAAATTTTAAAACATAAAATCTTGCCATTGGATTTTGTCAATGCAGAAATCAATTGTTTCTTAAGGAAAAAAAAGTTGCTTCTTAAAAAAACTGCTTATTTAAAAAAGAAATTTTTTTAAATAAACACATAAAAATAAATAAATAAGTGTTTATTTTATTAAAAAAAAGTATAAAAAAAATTATTAAAAAATGTTAGCTATTATTATCATTATTATTAGAGAAAGAAAAAAATTTGTGTCCTTATATTTAAAAAATAAATAAAAGAGTATAAAAATAAAATAGACTTAATTGTATTTTTTATTTTTCAAGTATTGTAGTTGTGTAATTTTAGTCTAAAAAATTTAATTGAACAATTTTAGTCTTTTAAGTCCAATTAAAAATATTAGTATTTAATATTACTATAAATTAATATCTATAATATTATTAATATATTTATAGATAAATTAATAATCTCATAAATATAAACTAATACATATTAATATATTTTTACAAAAATATAAATATATTTGATAAGATTTATATAATAGAAGAAATTTAATTAGAAATATATTAATTAAATTTTCTTTTACAAAAACTATGACTTTTAATAGAAAGGACTAAAATTCAGTTGCGATATTGAGAGATAAAAATTGTTCAATTAAAAATTTTGTAAGAATATATTTATAACTAGTAAACTAGATAAATTCTGTAATTTTTTCCTTAATTAGTTAATTAACAATAAAATTTGAATTTTTAATTTAATGAATATGTCTATGCATGTAAAAATATCAATTAATTTTTTTTTTGTCATTGACATAGTCTATGTAATATATCAAAACTGACAATCAAAGATTAATTATGCTTACAAGATATGACTTCTGCAAGTCAAACATTATTTTAGTACAATTTTAAAAATAATTATTATAAAAATAAAAAAATTTATTTTATATACATTAGTGAGATAGGGACATTCATGTTTCTATGTATTTTATTTAAATAAAAACTAAAATTAGAAGAAAAAAATAGTATATGTAATATTTTAAAATTGACAATGAAAGGTAATATATGTTCGTGGGATATAACTTTCCCATGTATTTTAGTAAAATTTAAGATAATTATTATAAAAATAAATAATTTTATTTTACATACACTTATAAGATTGAAACACTTCATGCTTTTAAATATTTTATTCAAAAAGATAATACATCAATCCGATTCTTTTCTTTATCTCTTATTATCTTGTTTGTTCTCTCTACTTTTCTCTCTTTTATAACACGTTATCAGCACGATAGTCTTTTACATATTGGTGTTACAACTACAAGAGAAAGCTGTGAAGAATTTTCTTGAAGAAAGTCATATTTTTCAAGACAAATATTTCAAGGTTAGCTATTCATTTTTCATAATAAGAATTTTATCAAATATTTGTATTGTTTACATTGTTATGAATCAAAGTACTCTTGAAGACATTATAGTAGTCCTGAAGACACTATTAAATAAAGAAATTCTTCATACATTTTTGAAATCTGTCTAGAAGACAATATCAAAGAAGAATGTTTAACCTCTTTTACTTTATTATTTTTTTTCTCACCAGAAGTGGGAAAATGATGAAAAAAAAATGAAATTGAAGGAATAAATTTTCTCACTAGAAGTGAGAAAATAATATGAAAAGTGAAAAATAAAATAAATTTCACCAGAAGTGAAAATTTTGATATAAATATATTACATTATATTTGATCCTTTATATAAATGAGGTCATCACCGGAAGTGGAATAATTTTGTAAATGTCATAATTATAATGTTGAATGATATTTGAGGCACTTATAAAAAATTATGACTAGTAAAGCGTGTCCTCAAGCCTATTTAGGTTTTGTGTGATTTCTTGAAAAAATTATGAGTTTCCCATATGTTTATTTGATATTGTTCCTGATTAAATTGATTGCAATAAGCAACTTGTCATGTAATTGAACTCATGTGTTACGTTATTAAATCTTAAAGGGTTTAGTTTCAAATCCTATTGATATAATTGATATTATTTATTTTCATAATGTTATGTGTGTATTATTTTAATTGATGGAGATATCATTGAATTATAATTTGATTGTGATTTGTACAAAAATATAGAATTTAATGAAATTATAATCAATGTTTATTTCCTTAATTTTTTGATACAACATTTATAAGGAGAATAATTTCCCTAATTTTTAGCATTATTTTTTATCTCCTTAAATTCAACCTAGTAATGACATAAATATATTTTTATTAAATGATTTTTTTTATAAGTATAATGAGAAAGATTCATATTTTTTTTATAACGAAAGACATAAACAAGTTATGATTTTTTTTTCAAATGAATATATGATTGTGTTATATCCTTCATTTACTAAAATGATAAAATAAAGTGTTAGTAAGATATGTTTTAAAAAAAAAAAAATTTGTGTGAAGCATTTATTTGTAGATAATATACATGAGATGATATATATAAAAAAAAATTAGTGTAGATTTTGATATTAAATTGATGTCTAAAGTTACATAACAAGAATGTCATTTTTATAATGATTTCTCAATTTGAAAAATGTATTATATTTTTCATACATCTATTTTTCTCTAGAAGAAGCGATATTTTTTTTATAAAAAAAGGATTAAGAAATATCCTTAGTTGGTTTATTGTCTCTTGAAGACTAAAAAAAAATATTGAGATTTTTTATGCAAGAGACCATTTTAACTAGCATTATTTCATTCCCTGAAGTGCATGTTCTAATGTATTAATTTTTGTCTTCTCATATTCAATAATACGAGAAATTAATGTTATATGATAATATAAATATAATTGAAGGCTCCAGAAGAGCTAATATATTATTATTGAAAGACACGAAGTTGCATATTAAAAATGCATTATATTTTTCTAAGTCTTACAGAAACTTATTGAGTTTCAAGGATATTCGTTTAAATGAGTTTCTTATTGAAACAAACAATGAAGGAAATGTAGAATATTTTTACATCACGAAACTCCACTTGAATAAAAAGGAAGTATTGGAAAAATTATTTACTTTTTCCTATGGACTGTATTGCACGTATATTAATACAGTTGAAACACATACTATTGTAAACCAGAAGTTTACAAATCAAAATAAATTTGAGTTTGACATGATCGATTGGGTCACCATGGGACTATCATGATGCGAAAAATAATTGAAAACTCATGCGGACATTTATTGAAGAGCTGAAAGATTCTTCAATCAAATATTTTATCATGTATTGCTTGTTCCCAAGGAAAGTTAATAACTAGACTATCACCAGCAAAAATTGGGAATGAATCTATCTTATTTTTAGAACGAATACAAGGTGATATTTGTGGATCAATACACCCCCATGTGAACCATTTAGATATTTTATGGTTTTAATTGATGCATTAACAAGATGGTCACATGTTTGTCTATTATCAACTCGTAACCAGGCGTTTGCGAGATTATTAGTTCAACTAATTAGATTAAGAGCTCATCTTCCTGATTATCAAATTAAGAAAATTTGTTTGGATAATGCTGGTGAATTCACATCTCATGCTTTTAATGAGTATTGTATATCCATTGGAATTGATATTGAACATCCAGTAGCACATGTTCATACACAAAATGGACTTACAGAATCATTTATCAAACGTTTAAAACTAATTGCAAGACTATTACTCATGAGATCAAAACTCAAATTCTCTCCTTTACAATTGGTTTTTGGTGAGCAACCTAATATTCCTCATTTGAGAATCTTTAGGTGTGTTGTATATGTTCCAATTGCCCCCCTCAAAGAACCAAAATGGGTCCTCAAAGAAGGTTGGGAATATATGTTGGGTATAAATCTCCACCTATAATAAAATATCTTGAACCATTAACAGGAGATTTATTTTATTATGCAGGGATATGAAGTCACTTTAACAAAATAGAGAGAAAGCAAGAAAGAGAAGAATGTGAAAGTACGAACAATGAGTGCAATTACTTAAATAATATGTGGTTAAAAGAAATAAAAGTGAGTAGTTACTTAAATAAAATTACATAATTACTTTTATTAATTATTTAATATGTAATATTATTAAGGATAAAAAGGTCATAGTAAAAGTGGAGACCAAATGGTAGTTACAAACGTTTGTATTCCCTTTATATAATGTTGTTTGTATTCCCTTTATATAATGTTATAGATAATAAATTTGTACAAATTACACTATAATTTATCTTATTCTTTTTAAAAAAAAATTATATTACTATTATATTTTGAATGCATATAAAAAAATAACTTCAGTAGTCATATATAAAATTCAATTTCAAAATAACTATATTTTCATTACTTAGTTAACACTCATTTATCATTATCTCTTTTATTTTTTAAATTCAAAATAATTGCACATTCCATAAACTCTGCATAACTAAAGAGACATGGAATGGAGTGTTTATTTTTTTCCCAGTTAAGATAAATGTTATTCATTTTTACCTTCACATTAATAATATAAAATTTAGATTGGTATATGAAATGGAATCCACCATCAATCAGAAGTTAATTATAGTTAAATAATTAATAAAAGTGGATCAACTTTTATATTTTTTAGTTAAGAATCTGAAATTCTATTTTAGATCTGAATATGAAATTGTGGTCACAGACATCACTTTACTTTTATATAAATTAATCTTGTAAAAAGAAATTCTAAAATTGATAATCAATGATTAATCTAAATTTATAAGACTTAACTTATGATAAATAAACATTATTTTAAGTCTATATTAACATTTATATTTTCTTATTAAAAAATTTAGTTAAGTATTATAATCTAATATTTGAATAATACTTTACTAAACATTTGCATTGATTGAATACTTTAACACATAAACAACGGCATTAAATTGAAGATGGGTGGTTTATTAGGGCCCTAATTGTATGATTTTCTAGTATATCTTTCAAATTGAAGTGGTCTAAAGTGCAGATTAGGATGGCGGAACAGAGAGACTTTGAAGGTTGCCTTTGGCCCATTGGTCAAATCAATTTGGTTTCTAACCACATCCTGATTACCACATGGTTCACCCACATTCGCCTTTAATTTCTCCATACTATCATATAATGGCAAACAAAAGTTAAGCATAAGTGAGTTCTATTAGTCTTTTTTTTTTTAAACCCACTATTTTATTTAAAGCAGTATAATCATGACATTTTTTTCCTATGGCATGATCCAAGTAATTTGTAGTGGGAATTCGATGACTTTGACACAATTAGTTAGTTCACTTGAAGGAAGTTTGACTTTTCTGGCAGTGAACAAACTTGGGACATGGGTTGGGCTGCAATATCATGGCCACCCTTCTTTACAACAAACATGGAATCAGTTAAAGTGAAAATTATTTATAAAAAAAAAAAGCTGACAGTACAATCAAATGGGCAGTAATAAGTGATAACACTTTGGCTCCTGGCCCTTCATGTATAAGTCACAATCAAATAACAACCCAACCGTGTCACATCCAAATTGAAAACAAAAATATCACATCTAAAAATTATACTTTTAAATTTCCCTTGATTTAGGAACATGACGGTGTAAAGACAAGACACAAAATATAAGAGGCACAATTTTCATATAGAGGATCTATTAGGGAGGAAGATTGAATACAATGTCTCTTTTCTTCTCCCATTTGCAAAATGCAAATAAGCCATTAACAATGTGAATTCTCACATAACCCAAGAATTCCACACAAAATTACTAAATGATTGCAAGAAAATAAATGTTGGTTTATTTAAAAAGAAACATACTCATATTTTATAAACAACGTAAGTTTAATCTCTGTTATGAATATAAAGATCCTAATAGATAATCTATAAATACTTCTATAAACACTTTTTGAGTTTCAATATCAAATCCTAAAACCTATCTTATCTAAACTTTTCATTGTTCAAATATAAAAAATCAGATTTGCGAGACATTTTATATTCTGAGATATATATCCTGCTAAGAATAAAGGAGAAAAACAAAAGAAAAAGAAGAGTAGAAGAAGAAGAACAAGTCATAGACAACAGTTAAAATAGAAGAATAGAAAAAGAGAAAGGCAAAATGTACACATCAGCGCCATGATTACAATCATCACTTACAAGCCCACAAACCAAGCCTATATTCCAAACAATTCTTCCTTTACTTGGTTTTCAACCTTCTTCACTTTTTCCCTCCTTTTTGCTCCTTCTCTTGCTTGCACCCTCCAACACTCTCCCCATCTTTCCTTTCTCTCTCTCACAACTGCACACAGTCTCCACCACCAATATATATACACTTTTGGTTCCATCATTAGCCCACAAACACAAACATCTTCCCTTTTCTCTTCTCTAGATCATGCACCATCTTCCTTTCTCTTTCATCGATTCAAAGGCAGAACTACTATAACTTGGCAACCACATTCAAAAAGAAGTGAGAGAGGAGAAGAAGCTGCATAGTAAGATTAAAAGATGGAAAGGAGTGTAATTTACTATGTTACATTTCTCATACTGTGTCTGTTTCTCTGTTCAGGTAATACCCTTTCTCTAGTTCACTCTATAGTTCTTATATCTTCCTTTTCTTATCTGTTTTTTTGGTTTAGCTCTGAATCTGATGGTTCTACTCTGACATGGGTAGATCAGTTGCTTCTGGTTTAAGATATTGTTTCTCAATTCTCAGTCTTTGGTTCTCATTTTCAATTGCTTATTCTTTATCTTCTGCACATATTCTGTGCTTTTCTCTTTAACTGATATTCTCTTGGACCCTTGAATATGTTTTGAATTCTAAACGGCTTTTCCTTCTCTCAACTTTGCCATTTCAATTGCTTTATTCTCTTCTTTACTTCAATTAGAATGGATATACATGTTGGACTGATTGGGAGCAATTCACTTTTTTCAGTTTTATTAGTCCATCCTGGCTTCTTTCCGTTGGATCTTAGTTTACAAATTGAGCTTTTCACTTTCTCTTTTTATTTGGATGACAATTTTCCTATATCAAAATATTGTCTCTTGTATTATTCCATTGAATACTCCTTCCAGCAATTATAGAGCCACACACACCATAGAAAAATGTAAACAAGTCCTTTTCTTGCTCATTTTTCTGGGGTTTCACATAGGACAGTTGCATCCAACCTCTCTCTAGTTCCACCGTTTCTTGAAAAGATACAAAGGGCCCAACTGCTTTGACTCATATATGCCTCTCTGTACATAGGATACCCTACCTGTCCTTAAGTGTCCATCTATATGCACTATTCCAAGTTATTACCTTTTGAAACATTGTAGAGGCCTAAAGGTGCCAAATTATAATAATTAGTTTGAATGAAAATTTCCTCAACTTTTCTAATGAAATAGCAAAACAGTTTTGGTTTCCATACTAGGTTGAATGTCATAGGCACAATTTGAATCCTTTCAAAAAGAAAAAAAAGAAAGAAAAAAAAAGGCCTAATTTGTTTCAAACCAATATTTGATTTCATTTCATTTCTCTCTTCACATGCTTTAGACATAGTACAGAACAAAGTAATTCAATTGTCATTTCAAAGACAGGTTCAAGTAGGACACAAAAGGAAGTACCTAGACATGTGAATGTACTACTAGGACATGAAGGGAAACAAGAATTCACAGCCTCAATTTCTACAGTCCAAAAGGATATTACCACTCCAATCACCACCATTCCAAACTTAGTTCCCACCACTCCAACCATTTCAACATCACCATTCCTGAACCCTAATTCCAACCCTGACACAGTCTCTCCAGCCTCTACACTACCATTGACCCCTCCAACCACTGTGAACTCACCAATGTCTTCAGGTGCAAGTTGGTGTGTTGCAAGCCCAACTGCCTCACAGATTGCTTTGCAAGTTGCATTGGACTATGCTTGTGGCTATGGTGGGGCTGATTGCTCAGCAATTCAACCTGGTGGAAGCTGTTACAACCCAATTTCCATTAGGGACCATGCTTCTTATGCTTTCAATAAGTATTATCAAAGGAATCCTGTTCCAAATAGCTGCAATTTTGGTGGAACTGCTGTCATCATTAGCACCAACCCAAGTAAGGCGTTTGCTGTTATAGTTGTCACTACTTTTTCAATTATGTTACATTCATTTTAGTTTTTAAGCAAGTCCAAGGGTATGGTCAAGTTGTTGGGTATATTGAGAATTTATATAAAAATTATAAGTAGATGTTTTTTTTTTCCCCTAAAGTTATTGGTTTTAGAAATTCGAAGTTTTATTCATTATTTTTTGGATCATAAGGGTATTATAAAAGAAAATGAGCCCGGAAAACTGGTAGTAGAAGTTTGTGCTAAATTGACATGCAGAGGTAGGGCCCTTTGGGTTGGTAATCAGACACGTATATGTGCATGATTGTTGGGTTTCATTTTGAACAGACTAAAAAGAAATTATTGCATCTTTGAATAGATTATAGGCTGTGACTTGGGGATGCAGGAGCTAAAAACTGTTATCTGAGTGATGCAAAAGTCAAAACATTTTTGTACGCAGCATCTTGAAAGCCTCCTTTATATATTGTCACAAATATCTATAAGTCCTGCTGTTCATTACAATTTTTTCATTAAATGTGTTTAAATAAATTGTATACAAATATATTATATATATGAATGAGAAAGAGCAAAATAATATTTAAATAAACCACTTGAATTTAAGATCAAGTAACATAATGCTTGGTGCAAAATTTATGAAATTGGTTGGGATTATTTATGGAAAAATAATTATTTTTAAAAAGATTCCCCAAAAAAACTAAAAAAAGCATATACTAAAATAATATGATATATATATATATATGCTTAATTTTAGTTTCTTTTTCTTTTAAGTGGAATGACTTACTTATTTATACCGATTATAATCACTCATCTCACGTATCCATCTTTATTACATTTTTTATTGCCCAACACAACAATACCTTTATCTTGTACAAAACATGGACAATTAAATTAGATGTACATTTTTGTTTTATTTCCAGCTCACAGCTCTTCAAATATTATTTAATTTTTGGTTGTTGAGGACATTTGATGAATGCATTTATATGTTTTGCAGGCACTGGTGCATGTCAATATCCATCCACTAGGTGACCCTTTCTTTCCCATATACTACATGCTTAATTTCAACTCTTCATTTGTTATGTTGCCACAATTGGAGCAGAAAATATCATACTTATTAACTTGTGTAAAAAATTGCAGCACTAGTACATCAATCTTGAACACAACAAACTCAAGCGGTGCAAACGTTTTTGGTTCAGTGCCAGTGCCCACAAACCCCTCTCCCTCTGCTGCACCAGACACATTAAATACCTTTGCTGATATTTGTGTCATTCTATGGATAATATCATCTTTTCTCTAAAATGGTTGAGAGTTGGATGTTGCAGCTCTGAACAGGAAAATTTTGCCCCTTTTACAGGTTTTTTGGGAGACACAAAAGCAAATAGCTACATGACAATCAACACCACATAAATGGTAGAAAGAAAAGGCAATCTAAGATGATGGACATTTGTAGAGATAGACTGTGCATAACTTTTTTGTTTAATTTTCTTTGTGTTGCTCACATTTTTTCTGTTGTATTGTTAGATCTTAGAAAAATAATATATCTTTGTAGTTGCCTTTTCTATTTAATTATATAAATCAGGATCAAATTTGTTGGCTAGGACTTTAAAGTCCATTTTAATCTTGTTGGTACTACCTATGACTTAGTGTACAGGTGTTAACTCTAATTTCTTAGTTAATATTTAATCTTGTAAGATCAATGGTGATATTACAAAACAGCAGTGAATATGTACAGTGGTGGGAGCCAACTTTTGCTTCTGAATTCTGAACATTGGAATTTGTTCAAATGTCATGTACTGATATCTCACAGGTCCCCTACTCATAGTGTTTGTAGCCATAATAATAATTGAAATTGATTTGGTGGATGAGTTTGGTAAGTTCACACATCTACAACTGCATGCAGAGCTGGAAGAGGATAAACAGTACCATATACTATCCACTGATTACCTTTTTCAGTCACTACACAACCAACTACTTCTTTTACCTTCTCAAGTAAATAATTGCACTACCTTCTAGAAACACACACCTTATCACCCACCACCTATATCATTTTGAAAGTGTCTTTCTATTATGGACATTAATTTTTTTTATCACTGATTTTGAAGTTTGGTAGTTTTTTTTTTTATGGAATTTTGAAGTGTTAAATATGATCGAAAAGAAGTACGAATAAAAGTTGGTATGGAACAGGTTTATATCTTATAAACACGTGAATTCAATTTTTTGTTACAATGTGAGAATTTTATTAGTAATTAATTTGTAAATAACTTATAAGTGTTTCTTTAGCCTTAAAAAGTCTATCGAGCTAGTCTTTCAAATCTAACTCACCTAAATAACTAAATTTCTCATCATAAAAAAATGTGATTGAAATATATTTTAAAATTAATTTAAATTACGTATTTACATCAAAAAGTGTGTTTTATTAAAAAACATTAGAAACAATTTTGTAACTTAAGGGACAAATAACCGTAACTTAGGACTACTCTCAAATTCATGTTGTTGATAAATTATAAATACGAAGGAATCATCCACAAATATATGAGAAGCTGAGAAATTTTTATCCTGCATACTCTATCCAACTCAAACTTTCTTGCTTTTTCTATACGTGAAGAGATTATAGGATTTCTAACATGTATATAACATTTTTCTTCATAATAATAATACGAGTTTTCTTTAGTGTGTAAAGATTTAGGTATGGCTTTTAAAGTAGGTATCATAAAAAAAATTTATGATACATGTTAAATTATAATCGGATAATAGTGGAAAAACTTTAACACAGCTAGTACATTCTAGTTAAATATAAACGATAAATCATGCATGTAAAAGAAAATAACTGGCCCTTCTAACACTAACTCTCTTTGGTTTGGAGATTGGGATTGCGCCATCATGTTCAATGGTTTAAAAATGGAATGGAATTGGGCCTTCTTTTTTACGAAGAACAATGGTGGATCTATTTTTTTTTTTAATACACCTCCTTCAAATTAATAATACACATATCATTTTTATTTATTTTTTAAATACTTTATTCTGAAAATTATTTTTTTGGAACAGAAAAACTATACTTCTAAAATATACTTTTCATAAGGAAAAAAATATACACTTTCGAAAAGTAATTTTGAAAGATAAATAAATTATTCTTTTGAAAAGTATTTTTCAAAAGATAAATAAATTGCTCTTTTGAAAAATACTTTATTAAGTTATATTTTTTTTACTTTTAGAAAGTACTTTTTGAAAGTATAACACTCATATTTTGATGTGTTTGTTTTATAGGAGGTTGTGTTATGTGTTAGGTTGGGTAAGTTAAAAGAAGGCATAAGAGGGGTTATCTTAAGTTTTAGACTCATAACTCAAGTTTTTAAAAAGTCTAGAGAGAAAAACTACTAAGAAGTACTATAGGAGAGTGAATCTTCTCCTTTTTCTCTAGTCAAGGAACCCTTTTTATTCCTCCCTTCAAGTTGATTAGAACCTTGGAGATGAGGATCCCAAGTCGGTGAAGTTGAGAGTCTCTGACACAATGTTGTGCGAAGCTCTCTCATTCGAGACTCGGAGTCAATTTCTCCTTTTCTTCCTCTTCCTTGGTTCTCCATGAATTGAGATAAGGGAAGCTTGACTTTTTTTATCCTTTGTTGTTGCATGTTGAATGTATTGTTGATTTTCTCATTAATGGCAAATTATATTGATATTTGGAGTTGTCATAGGTATTTTTGAGGTATTTGGGGTTTTAGGGGAAAAAATCTTGATTTTTTACCTAAATCCTTGTTGTAAGTTGTTTTGTTGTAAGAAATTAAGTATTGGTGATGTTCATATGAGTTTTGCTGGTTTGAATTTGAGTTTAGAGTTTGTAGGTGAGCATGGGATGGATTAGAGAGACTTGAAAACTCCAAAATCATGAGCAACAAAGATTGTCTTTATCACGAATTCGTTGAGCAGTTTTGAAACAATTGAGTGAAATGAGGATGGGAATAAGGGTGTCTCTAAAAAAATCCACTTAAGTCAAGATTCGCTAAGAGGAATTGAAAGGACTGAGCAAATCAATGATTTTTGAATTAGAGTTTGTTCTTAATAAAAGTTGTAGCCTTAGATGTTATCTTTTCAATGACTTTGAAATTACCTAAAAAGGAAGTCTAAGACTTTAGTTATGACCATTTTAGTGAACAAGGGTCAAGTTGTCAACATTTACGCAAACTAATGTGATTTTTGTGAATTTTAATATAGTAGATGATGGAGTTAGAACTTGAAGTCTTCATAAGAGTTATATATAACCTTTTTTAGATTTCATATGAGATAAAGATGAATTTGATTAGATTAGTGAAACCCCAATTGTGTTGTGTTATGTGAAGTTGTCATTGAATGATAATTGATTTTGATAAGTTTTATGTTGATACATGTTGTATGATGTTTTAAGTTATCTTATAGTAGAATGGGGATATATGGATTGTATGATGGATAATGTATAATGATAATTATGTTGTTAAGGTGAAAGATGATTTATGGACATGTTGCATATTTTATGAAGTGTTATAAGTTGAATGGTGTAAGTTAGTTGATGCATAAGTTATAAGAATTGAATGATGCTAAGTTGCTAGAGATGTGTGATGAAATGGTATGCTGACAATATATATATATATATATATATATATATATATATATATATGGTTGTATGTGATGAGGTACATGCTAAATATTGTGTTTATTATTGTTGTTAAGTTGAAAGTTGATATGTATGTTAATAGATGGTTAAGTTGTAAAGATGTAAGTTGATATGATGTTATGTTGTTATGGTTAAAACATAAGTTAAGTGATGTTTAAGCTATAACAATGTATGATGATAAATTGTTAAGTTGTTAGGCATGTGATTGTACACATGTCTATGTTCAGATACATAGGAACTATAAGAGAGTTAAAGATGTTTTTGAAATTTAATATCCCATTATATGAATATACATTGTGTTGAACCCTTTAGTAAGTAAGTCGATTTTTAAATGGGCAAGTTGTTTTCAATTGTCTCATATAGATTCTATGTGGTATCTGTATGTGGACAAGGTCGAGACATATAGGGACAAGGATGAGTTATATTGATTACAAGTGACCAACTGAGTAAAGTACGAAGTTGGGAACTTAATCCCTAACCGAGTATAGGAGGATTGTGGTATTTGGAAGATAGTTAGTTGGTTAATTTCATAGGAGACTTAGTGTTACAAGCTAATGTCGTGGTAAGCTCATATCCAAATTATTTTACCTTGACATAGTACCATACTTCCTAATTTAAATGGCAAAACCTAATAAACCAATCTAGTTTATACTAATTGTTGTTTTAGCCTTGTGCTAGTCATTGTTTTTTATCTTAGTGTCAATCGTTCTTTTCTAGTATTATACCAACTGTTATGATTTAATAGGATCAAGTCACTTAAACTATTCACCTCAATTGTAGGAGATCTGATTGATATGCATGACGACGCATCAATTGTAAATCTACGTTGTTCTATTAAATGTGTGAGTGGATTGAAGTTGTATGAGTGGTTGTATTGTTGTAGTTGTTTATGATGTGTTGGTATTTATCGTTGTTTATGCTACTTATTACATAACTAGTGTTGATTATATATGTATATATGTGTGTGTAAGTGTTGTTATGTTAAAGGTTCAAAGATGTATGAGTTGCTATATAATGAACGATATGAACATAATATTGTATAAAGACGATGTATTATTTGATAACTGTGATGAAATTACCTAAGTTGTACGAGTACTTGGGTACTTTAAGTTGTATGTCAAGACATGATATGATGTAATGAGCGATGTTCCTTTTAAGCCATTTATGTTGCATGATGTTATATGACTTTGTTTTTGTATCACAAACTTACCTTATATTTTTCCTTATGGTTTGGGACTGTTATGATTATACTTAGTATGAGAGCAGAATAAGATTAACGAGTCAAGTTGTGTTGTTCGGTGGTGAGTCATATTGGAGGTGACTTTCTTTTGGATGTTGCTATCCTGAGGTAGTTAGGTTTATATAGACATTTGACTGACAACTAAGTTTATTTTGTATACAGTAGTTACTTCTTTTATATGAAGTATGTGTATATATATATTTATGAAAAATTATTTTATTTCTTACATATATGACTGCTTGGATAAAATTTACCTACTTGTTACATAATATCCTAGGTAGATGTTTAATGTTTATGCTTCCACTTAATTGTTACTAGATTGCAATAAGTGTAATGACCAGACGGGTCATTATAAAAAGTATATTTTTTGTCTTCTTGAAAGTACTTTCTAAAAGTATTTTTTTTATTCTGAAAAATATTTTTCAAAAGTATGTTTTAGCATTTTCAAAATCCAAGAGTAAAAAAATACTTTTAAAAAGTACTTTTTAAAATTGAAAAAATATGCTTCCAGAAATGTATTTTTGTCTTTGGAATGTGTATTTATTTTTTTAATTACAATTTTGCATATTAGTTTGTAAAGATAGTCACATCAATTCATTTAGTGCTTTTAGTTCTTAGGTTAGTTGGTTTTTCTTAAAAAAAATAAATAGGAATCTAACTTAACCTTTTAAAACTAACTAGTAGGATAAAGATTATTCCTCACTTAATTACATTATTATGATACAAAAGTGATTTTCCAAAACCTAGCACAATGCTTTAATATGCCTAAACATAAAAATAATATAACAAAAGTATCTTACCAAAAGTAAATTCTCAATCCTTCTATTTTATAAACATTTCTTTGTCATGCCATTATAAACCCAATTTTTTTTTACTATTTAGTTTTAATTTGTTTTATGAAAAAAATAATAAAGAGATAAATTAATAAATTTTTTACTAAAAGTTGTTAAAATAAATCATTCAACATCGCCATTAGTATTTTTTAATAAAAGATCAAGTTTAATTTCTGATTTAAATATGTAGTTATGACTAGAGACCTTAGTTTATCCTTACAAATAATGAAACCGGTGAAAAAGTTATACCAATTAACTAGTTATAAAAAAGAATCAGTTTGTTTGTTAATGTATTAAAAAAATGTTTTACAATATAGAAGATGTTACCATATTCCCTAACAAAGTTATTTAAAAGTTATATGATGAACTATTTATATTGACAACATGAACCTAATTAAAATGAAGAACAAAAAAAAAACCATTAATTGTAAATATTTATTTCCATTAATTATATTAAACACTTCATAAAAAAAACATATAAAATACAATTTGATTTTATAATAATTCTAAAATTTATATTTAATATATATAAAATTGAAAAATAGATATATTTTTAATAATAAATAAATAGTTTATATACCGTGCATTGCATGGGTCTTAAATCTAGTTCCCTAACAAAATCAAAACGCAGTTAACTTAATTTAATTGTATCAAGAACCAAAATTAAAAGACTGTCCACAAAAATTATACAGAGAAAATGAATGAGTTAACATAAGACCCGTATTACTCTCATTAGAGGACTATTGTACCCCATAATAGGTCAGGACTAGAACTATATATTAGTATGACATGCTATATTCTCATCCGTATCTATGATAACATCAAGTCATGTAATTAATAGGAATAATTTAACGAAACGTTTCCATGCAAACTATGTGCATTGAACAGACATATCAAATGATTAAGGGTTCACCAAACCACAAAATGAGGGTGACATGAATTGCTGTACTAACCGTCTCACACAAACAAACAAAATATGAAAGAATTAGTCTCCATAAGGTTGGTTTTCAAAGATTTTGTACCAAAGGCATGTCTTTACATTTTGAATAAGTTTAATTGCTCCACCTTGACCTACCTTCCCTGCCCTGTAGGAAATCGCGAAAACATTAATTATTTGGTCACAGGCGCTTCTCACCTCTTAATTTCAATCATCCCAATGTTATTGTCATAAATGTAGTTTCATCTAAGTTGGAGTGACGTATAACTAATATTTCAGTTAAAACAAATAAATCTACTCGGGTGTACTGTGTGTAACGTAAAAGAAATTTAGGCAGATAAAATTTAAATTATAATTACACTTATTAAATGTGATATCTATTTAATTTGAATAGTGCATAAGTCACTGTAAAACTATGTGTAGTGTAGTGCCTAAGGAATCATGTCACTTGCGATAATCACGTCACAGACAGCAGATTAGTTGAACAATTAAAATCAAACCACACATGTCCCACTTCGAGTATGACCAGTTTTGCTTTGGGAATGCACAATGCCATAGACAGCATAACAGAACATAGTACAGTAAATAATTGATGTTGACTTTTGTGAAACTTCAATTTGAATAGAAAACATACAACTCCCTCTATTTCTTGTTATAGAATTTTTAGTAAAATTTTATTTTTATTTACTTGTCATTTTTAAAATTTAGGATAACATTAATGACTATATTATTAATTATACCCTTTTTTTTTCCCTATTTTCTAAATAATTTACACATTATAACTAATATACATTTGTTATAAAGAAAAATCAAAGAGGTAATACATAAATGTGTCAGTTACTAATATTTTTCGGTAAAGAATTTGATGCAACTGGTTGAGAATATAGAACTAGAACTAGTAGTCAACGACAGTTTGTATTGAGAGGAGCAATTTGACTTGCGATGATTCTGTAATTGGTTTTGCAAAGTCAAATTGATTCGATGATGTGGTTGGTCTAACTTGCTATTGGCCTACAAAAAATGGCAAGGGAAAATGCAATAGAATTAGTTTGACTAAAGGGTTTTCAAAGGGATACACATACACACGTTCCAATGCTCAGGCCAACATTTGAAAGACATAGTAGCAATGCTCTAAGGCGGTCACCAACATTTTAACCTACCCACTGTATTTGTGTCAGTGGCTAATAATATTATCTGGCATCATGTAGAGAGCACTTGCATGAAAGAAAATGCAACAGCCAATGCTGAAAATGGAAACAAAAGAAAAATATGTAGGAAGGTGAAGTTAATGCCAGCGGTGTGGTTAACCAAATGCCACAATGAACAATCCCTTCTTCTGCACCCTTTTAATGACTCTATAAATATTCTCTGCACACTTGGCTCTTCTCCACACATTGTCCCTCTCTCTCATCTTGCCTTTCTTTCTCCTTCTCAAACACATCATCAACTTTTCAATGGTGTTTCCAGTGGTGCTCCTAAGGCTTGCAGAATGGATCTTGTACCAGTTGCTTGCCAACTCATGTTATAGAGCAGCAAGGAAAATGAAAAGTTATGGCTTTCATTTGGGGTATTTGTCATCTAAACCACCCCTTCGTCCTTCCCCTTTCCCTAGTGTCACCAAATGTGATTTGGAGGGTAGAGGCTCTCAAACACTTGCTTGTGACATCCATAGAGTCCTCTTGAGGTCTCACTCCTTCTTTCCTTACTTCATGCTTGTTGCCTTTGAAGGTGGCAGCATTTTGAGGGCACTCCTCTTGCTTTTGTCTTGTCCTGTGCTGTGGATTTTGGACCATGAGCTGAAGCTTAGGGTCATGACCTTCATCACCTTTTGTGGCCTAAGAACAAGTGTCATGGAAAGCATGTCAAGGGCTGTTTTGCCCAAGTTTTACTTGGAGAATCTCAACCTGCATGCTTATGAGGTTCTAGCTTCAGCAGGGTCCAAAGTTGTGTTCACAAGTGTGCCTAGAGTTATGGTGGAAGGGTTTCTTAAGGAGTATTTGAGTGTTGGGGCTGTTGTTGGCACAGAGTTGCACACTGTTGGTTCCTACTTCAGTGGTTTGCTTTCTGGCTCTGGCTTACTTGTGAAGCACAGAGCACTAAAGGATTATTTTGGAAATTCAAAGCCTGATGTTGGGGTTGGAAGCTCTTGTGTTCATGATCATCTTTTCCTCTCCCTTTGCAAGGTAAGTCTCAAGTTAGCTCCCTGTTTAACCACCACAGTTACTGTTCAACTCTTGTCGGTACAGTGTTCTTAACTCTTAAGTAACCTTTCACTGTTTCCACAACCCACTAGAAAGCTGAGACCTCTGCTTACAAGCATTAAATGAAAAAAAATAAAACCATTCAAACCTCAACGTTAAACCTGTACGGGTTATTCAGGTGTACTGTGTTGTTTCCCTTTTTGACAAAACTTTGTTAGTACAATACAGTTAAATAGCAGTCATAGCAATATAATATTTCTAACACACTATTATTTATTAAAGTTTATTAGAAACTACAAAATAATAAGTCTGTTGCATTTATATTCTAATTCGGTAGACATGTTTTTATTGAATTTATTGGTGAATTGTGTCTAATTCCAGCTATATGATAATGACAGGAATCATATGTGGTGAACAATGAAGAGGGGAAGAGCAACACAAGCTCAGTGATGCCAAGGGACAAATATCCAAAGCCCTTAATATTTCATGATGGAAGACTAGCATCCCTGCCTACACCCTCAGCAACTCTCTATATGTTCATGTGGTTTCCATTTGCAATTCTTTTGGCCATTTATAGAATCCTTCTTGGTGTATTACTTCCTTATGGATTGGCAATGACCTTAGGTGTTTGGAGTGGCATAAATCTTCATGTGAAAGGCAGTGTCCCTGAAAAGTCAGATCCAAACAAAGGGGTCCTCTATGTGTGCTCCCACAGGACCCTCCTTGATCCTGTTTTTCTAAGCACGTGTTTGGCAAAGCCTTTGACTGCAGTCACATACAGCTTAAGCAAGGTGTCTGAGTTGATAGCCCCTATTAGGACTGTGAGGTTGACAAGGGACAGAAAGCAAGATGGTGAAACCATGCAAAGGCTTCTGAGTGAAGGTGATTTGGTGGTGTGTCCTGAAGGGACAACATGTAGAGAGCCATATTTATTGAGGTTCAGCTCACTTTTTGCAGAATTGGCTGATGAGATAGTGCCTGTGGCAATTAATACTCATGTGAGCATGTTCTATGGGACCACAGCAAGCGGTTTGAAATGCTTGGACCCTATTTTCTTTTTCATGAATCCAAGGCCTAGCTATTATATTGAGGTTCTTGGAAAGGTGCCAAAGGAACTCACATGTGGTGGTGGAGGAAGGTCAAGCTGTGAGGTGGCTAACTATATACAGAAACAGTTGGCTGATGCTTTGGGATTTGAGTGCACCAAACTCACAAGGAGGGATAAGTACATGATGCTAGCAGGGAATGAGGGGATTGTTCATGAAGACAAGTGGACAAAATGATATTGATGTTGATCATCATATGTGGAAATGGGGTTCCCACTGATCTTTTCAAATTTGATGTACACTTGTTTTTTGGTTGCCTTATTTGTGTTTGTTTTTTTTAGGTCTTGTTGGATATGATATGACCATTAATTTGTGATTGTGATATTAACTGAATGATAGTGTCAACTGTTAAGCATATTAACGTAGTACACTTTGTTTCTCAGAAGTAACCAGGATTTGACTAAAAATCATGGGCTTACATGATTTAAATGAGATTATAAGTAGAAACATTATTGTCACTTTTATTTACATTATATTAAAGAAATTGTAGTTAAAAAAATGTTCAGCCTGTGTGTAGATCAAAGAATGTCCCAAAATAATAAAAATAAAATAGTGGTTTGCTTGATTCATAACTATTATTAAAAGAAAAAGATAGGGTTCATTTGGAAGAATACGATGGAACTTATTATTAGTTTATTACTAGTCAAATAAAAAATATTAAATGGTCGGAAGACTCGGAACTAGTTAGCATATTTATTCCTGTTAGATGAATGATATGATTTCCATTTGATATATACCATTTACCTGACACTCAATCAGGGTGCCTCCAGATTGGACCAAATCATCAACAATGACTACATTGACGACTGGTGGCATTGCCTTCCTTGATCCGAATTATTCTCTTATCACCTTCACGAACCTTTGTACATACCACCTATCACTTCAAAAAATTAGATACGCTAAGAAATGAATGAAAAGTTAAACAAGGATATACTTATAGAGAACCAACCATAGGAAAATTATCAAACTGCTTGTGGAATCGCTTCCAAGCACCATCATCTGGAAAAGCTATAACTATCTGAAAATAACAACCAGAATTCAGGATGCTAAAAAGTATATACTATTTATAATAGCAAGCATTGCAATGTGTCATGAATATGATACCAACATTTCTGTAAAAATTCAGGAAGGAAGGCAACATGTGGAATTGCTTCCAAATCCTTTTCCAACATCTGGAATCGCTTCCAAGCACCATCATCTGGAAAAGCTATAACTATCTGAAAATAACAACCAGGAATTCAGGATGTTAAAAAGTATATACTTGGATACCAACATTACTGCAAAAGTTCAGGAAGGAATGCAATATCTCAAGATTGGATCTACAAACAAAGGCAATGTGACTGAAGGAAATAACGGAATGCAGAATACTTGCACTATCAGTGTCAGGAAGCTGACTCAAACGATGTTTTAAGAAAGGAATACCATTCTCAAACAAGGGCAAAACCTCATCTCCAAAATAAAACCTCTCCAGCATAATATTTGTAGTAAAAAAAATGAGTGGACAAAGTTGTAGATTACATATATCAATATGATATCTAGTACATAAGAAGTGAAATAAGATAGAATGATCATGCAATGTTAAACTAAACAGTTTCGAGCCAGAAGCCGTGTTCTATTTAAAGGGGGGAGGGGAAGCTATAATAAGTTGGTATGTGGTTTTTCAAGATGTTTTACCTGTATATTGCCTCCAGTACTCAAGTATTGTTAAAAGTTTGAGTAAATTATTATTTGAGTTCACCATCTTTGATAGTATGTATAGATCGGAAGTCACCAATAAAGGGAGTGCAGATGTTTATGGTGTCTTCTAGTATACACATGATAGTGATATTTTATTTTCAAAAGATTTTCACGGGGAGGAATTTCCATCCATGTTTAAAATCAGGTACATGTTTTCTGCATAGACTCTTCATGACGCCTCATTTTGGTTCCTTTTCCAAATCTTTTTCTTCATCTCTTGAAGAAACTGCTTAAAACATTTTTATATAAACCATCATCTTTTTAAGTTCTAGCAAGACCCTAATAATAAGGAACTAACTAGAGAAAACAAATTGCTTCCATAAAAAAGTTGGTTAAATATTAAGAAAGTAAATGATTTCCAATTCATCCCTGATCTGGCAGAAAAACAGATGGGAGGAGAGTTGGTTAAAACCCAATGCAGGGTACATGACTAGCATGAATTATTGAGAGTCTGCCTGTACTTCACTCATTACGCAAAGTGCAAAAAAACTAAAACACATCATCAAAAGACCCTGCAAAAATACTTATATTAACAATCCAGAAGAACCTTAATTAAAGCACAACAATGCAACTCAAAAGTAATTCGTATGTATTTATGTTCAAATTGAAGCACACAAACCTGCAAGCCATGAATGTCATATATGACTAAGCTAGTTGGTCCACCTCTTGAAATTGGAATATTACATAGCATCCTTGCAAGGGTGAAGGCAATGGCTACATCTCCTTCCTCTTCCATTCTTTCAAAGGAACAAGTTGGAAAGAAAGGCAACACCGGTGTGAAGGAAGCAACAAAGAGACGAGGGAATGCATATATGACAGAGAGTTGCTCAAACATGCAGTGGCAGAATTTGGATAAAAAAATTGGAAATGTTAAATTAAATTTTTTATTAATTAAAATATAATAGAATTTCTCTTTTTTTACTCAATTTTTTTAGTTTTATTACAATTATTTTTTTTTGTGAAATAGGGAGCTTAAAAGCTCAAAAAGAAAACAAAATTTAAACTACTTCTGCTAGATTAAAAGTTAATAAGGAAAGGAAAAAATAGGAGGAGAGTCATAACCAATAAAATTCTCCTATGACACAACTTTATGTTTGGCTAGCAAATGAGCCACTAAATTGACTTCTCTAAAAATATGGGAAATTAAAAAACTCGAAAAAATATTGGATAACTAGCAAATTTTCTGAATTATATCAGCACAAAAATGATTCCTAGCACATCCGTCTTTCAACAGATTAATTGTTTCCAAAAAGTCTAATTCAAGTATGACTTGCATGCTTAGTTGACGATCCACAATAAACTGAAGTCCATGCAAAATGGCTCACAATTCTAATTGGATAATTGAGCAGCTACCCATTCTTCTAGTAAAAGCAATAATGCATCCACCTTCAAAGTTTCGGATCACTCCTCCACATGAACTCTCTTCCATTAGACATTGTACCGTCACAATTAACTTTAATAAAACTCTAGGAGGACAAATTCAAGAACCAGAGAGGGGGTTGTATGTTGGTTTATCTTCTAAGCCAAAAGGAGAATGGCTAAAAAGGAGTGAAGTCGTCCAAGACTCAATTTCATGTGCCAACTGATAATATACAAATATAATATTAATATATATATATATATGAGTATATATATATATAAAATTAGAAAAGTTTGGGAGAATCGTGGCTCCCCTTGTCATAATCAAGGTTCGTCATTGCAAACACGTGTGTTGGGGAGTTGAAAGAGGCTAAAAAGCAGCATGTTAACCTTGGAACACTGTTAATAGACATTAACTCGTGCATTGCACGGAAATAATATAATATACTTAAAAAATTAAATTTATAATAAATTTTATATTTAATAAATTTGTAAAGAGTTTGAAATAATGAATAGAAATATGTTTTTTTTTACTTTTCAAATACTATATTCTATATAAAAAAATATAAATATTATGAAAATTAACTTTCATATTGATTTTGGTACTAATATGAGAGTTCAATAGTTAATTATTATTCTCAAATCAAATAAAAATGATATCAATAATTTGAGATTCAAATTAAAGGAGAATTTGGAGATATTTTGATTTTATACAACTTTATTTTTATAATTAATTTGTAATTAAAAGACTCAATTTACAAAAATGTAAAAAAAACTATTTGCTTTACTCAATGAAAATTGCAAGAAAATTATTTTATTTTAATAAAAATTTAAATAAAATATCAAAGCACATGAAATATAATAAGTGAGTATAAGTAAAGCAAAATGAGCATAAACAATGCATAAAATTCTTAAATTATAAACTAAACCATGTTATATCACAAAATTTGTCTCTTTGAGAATTGTGATTTTTTTCTTCTACTTTTCAAGTATTTTATTCTATGTGAAAAAGCATAAATATGATAGAAATTCTTTTTAATTTTAAATTATAGTTTAGTGTTATTATTATATTTTAAATGTAGGACAACGTAACAGTTAATTCAATATAAATTTAAATGATTATACATAAATTATAAAAAATGAATAAAATTAATGTAAAATAATAAATATAACTAATTATGCATAAAAATACTTAAATTATAAATTAAATCATATAAATTGATTTGATTTTCTGTTATCAAAAAATTATGCATAATACAAATTAATATTTAAAAAAATAAAGAATAATTCTTATTAACATTAAAATGTTTTTTAATAATATTCTTATTTGATTGTATTTTAGCTCTATAATTCAAATTAAATTTCTTTGTAATTAAGATAATTTTTGTAGCATTGTATAAAATAATGCATACTCAAATAGATGTGTTAATCTAATTAAGTATATGTGTAGGTATCATATTTTAGAATAGATGACAATAAAATGATCTGGAACAACTATTTAATTAATAAAAATCAATTTAGACAATTTTTTTTTTTGAGGTGATCAAGACAATTATGTCATAATAAAATGAAATAATTATATTACAATATATATTAAGTAACTGCTATTTAAAAAATTTATGAATAATTATATATTTATAATTGATTTACAATTAAGATATCCAATTTGATTAATAACTCGGTTATTGGGAAAAAAAACTCAATAAAAATTGTTTAAAAATAATAAATATTATACTTGTAAATAAAAACTAACTATTACTTGAGATATATAAATTTTGATTTAGTAAATAATTTCATATTAATTCTGGTACTAATATGAAATAGTTAACTATCATGTATAAATTAAAGAAAAATTATAACAAATGTAACAAATAACCAACCTACACCAAATGGAGAGACATTGGAAAAAGAAATAAATAATTATTGAGAAAATGTAAAAATGTGTTATCAAAACAAGTAAAAATAGAAACCAATTACTATACCATCTACGAACATGAAATCTCTTTATTCCTTGATTCCATAGGAACGCAATACAAATTAGTGATAAAGAATGAAATTTTTAAGATTATAAAATGAAATTTCATACATTTAATACAGTAATACGTTCAAGTTATATGAAAATTATTTCTTCTAGCCATATAAGCCATAGTTTTAGTCATAGGTAAAAAAAATCATAATAAATGTCAAACATTACGTCTTTTTGATATAGATACGATTCTGGTTGTTACAAACATGATTTCAATGCGGTGAGGAGGTCGTGGATGACAGCAAAAAAGATTTGGTGCAAGATA